GCTAAAATGCAATTCGCATTTTAGCATGACGAAATTCACACCAAGCAGGACTTAATCTACAGTTTGGCACAAAGAATGATAACTGCGCTGTAATTCAAATGATAATATTCGAGGATTTTTCTTCCTATAAATATTTATTAATTGAAATAGTGACTCAGACCACGGAGGAAGAATTGAAAAATTTCCATAAGTTTGTTGTTATTTTAGAGTTAGCTACTCAGAACGAAGTGTCCATGTAGCACGGGCTATGGTGAGCTCGTAAGAATTTCCTTAAGGACTTTCGTATATTGATACATCTTCAGAACGAGTGATTTACAAGTCATGTTGTTGTTGTTGTTACAGATTTAGCTACTCATAACGAGGTGTCAATGTAGCACGGGCTAAGGTGAGCCCGTAATGCACAAGTCGATTGATTGATTAAGCCACCCAAGAGGGCATGAATAGCCCATAAGTGGTAAAAAAATTTGTTCAGTAAATCAGTTCAGTGTGCTGAGGTATTTATTCGTCAGGCTGCTATCGCGGGGGAGGATAATGCTTTGACAATATTTATGAGGGTGTTCAGGTGTTGGACACCTTTTTTTACCAGAGGAGTAGCTGTGTTGATGGCTTCAGGTGCACAAGTCAAGTAATGGACATGTATATAGGCAGGAGAGAGAGGTGAAGTAAAGTGAGGTATAATGACAAAATGAATGAGAATTAGGTGGATACAAGAGCCACATAAGAACCGCAGAGGGCCCATTGGCCCATACAAGGCAGCTCCTATTTTTACCCACTAATGGTTTAAGGGCCCACAAAATAAGAGTTGCATCAATAGGCCCACACATGGATAATAATAGCATCAGATAGTAAATATTTGCAATGAATTAGTGAGACAAATGTGCATCAATGATCCTACTCAAATCGCCCGCTAATTGATCTATCACTACTAATTGAAATAGTGTAAATAGAGACCCCAAAACTAGTCATAAGGTTTCCAGTATTGGCAGTTAGTATTTTCCTAATAAACGTTGCACTGACAAAACAACGATTCACAGATTACAAGTTCGGATCGCATGTTAATACCGCCTTATCAACTGGTGTTATATGAAAGTTCTTCATAATATCTAATACACGAAAAGAGGAAATCAAAACTGAGCCCCACACAAACTATTTTGCTAGAATTAAACGAAACGCAAAAAAATCCTGAAATAGGAGTTATATATAGGCAACCAAATTTTGTCAGTGAAAGCAAATCATCTATGGGATGAAATATGTAGAGCATATAGGTCAAACAGCATTTGTGTCATTGGTGATGAATTTTAGTAAAATAAACTGGCTTAACAGAACAGGGAATAATGAAGATTTTCTTGAATTGACAATTGCTTCCTTACGGAACCAACGTGTCGAAATAATATGTTAGACTTTTTAAACACTAATTTAGTGTTTAATAGGGAAATGCAATTTAATGACACTGAAATAGGAAGTGAGCCAGGGAACAGTGATCACAATTCTGATTTAGCATAGAATGGAATAGATTTGTAGGAGAAAATTCTGTTAAAAGTTTTCTGTAAAGTAAAAAATCTGCCAGATTTTTGCTAAGCTGATTTTAATGGCTTAAGATATTTTTTGGGGTGAAATAGATTGGAAAGTCATGGCCATTGGGGTGGGTCGGTCTTGGAGCGAGACATGAACCCAGCGATGGGTGATGTAAAAAGATTTTGATTTGAATTCAAACTATAACTTGTTTAAAAATATGTTAAGCAAAGCGCAAGAACGTAGTATACCATACACACTTAATAGATCGACTAATAATGACCCAAAATGGATAACAAAGTATCTGAAGAATCTTATAGGTAGAAACAACTTGGTACAAAAGGATTAGGAATTGGGAAGTCAGTTTAGAACAAGAATTCGTCCAACTAGTTATGAATGTTAAAAAAAAAGATGAGGCAAAAATACTAAAGTTTGCATAGCAGGGCAAGCAAAAAAAAAATCCTAAGTTTTTTTTCCAGTTATATCGAACAAAGATTAGGAAAAGGATAGGCCCATTAAAAACAGACAGGTCAGATAACTGATAATGAAGAATTGAGCAGTATTTTTAATAAATATTTTATCTATTTACTAGAGAGGAACTGCACATTATGCCTTCAGCCGAACAAGTCTATGTGGATAGGGAAGAGGACAAGGTTGACTAGCAGTTACCAGGGAGGATGTTATTAAACAAATAATGAAACTCAAACCAAAATTCCCCAGGATCAGACGAAGTGTTTGCCAGGGTACTTAAGGAATGCAAATAGAAGCTTTGCGATGCATTGTCTACCATATTTAATCAATTAGAGTCAGGCAGTGCGCCAGAGTCGTGGAAGGTTTCTAATGTGGTTCCAAATTTCAAGAAAGGAGATAGATCACTTGCGTGAAACTATCGGCCAATTTAACGTCTATTGCGGGAAAGTTACTTGAAAACCTTGAAATTTAAACATATAACAAGTTACTTGTTACTTGAAAGTTACTAACCTCAAAACCTTACATTTGTCAGCATTAAACTGCATCTGCCAATCTTTTGACAATATCGAAACCCTATTTAGGTTCCAGATATAGAACCCTTTATCTTGAAGTGATAGTTTTGTCTTTATTTCGCTCCCAGTTTTTGTATCGTCGGCAAATTTGCAAATATTGCTGCTCAACCCTGAATCTAAATCATTTATATATATTATAAATAACAGAGGTCCCAAGACAGAGCTTTGAGGCACTACTTACAACATTTTCCCACTGACTTAACCCATTTATACTAACTTTTTTTTGGTATAGCCATGCCCTAATCAAGCTTAATATAGCACCCCCAATACCGTGGGCTAACTTTTTAATCAATCTCATGTGGCACTATCAAAAGCTTTACAAAAGTCAAGGTACACAACATCACAATCCTAACCACTATCAACTGCCTCAACTACGCTGGAATAAAATTATAGCAAATTTGTTAAACATGAACTGCCATTTGTAAAACCATGTTGTGAATCATTAATTTGTTTTTCAAGATGGTGACGGATGATATTTGCAATTATCGATTCGAGTAACGTTCCCAGAATAGACGTTAAGCGCGATAGTTTGACGCAAGTTATCTATATCTCTTCTTCAAAATTGGTACCACATTAGCATTCTTCCACGACTGGCGCTCTGCCTGACTAATGATTTATTAAATATGCTAGACATCGGCTCGCAAGCTCCTCTTTGTATTCTTTAAGCACCCTGGCAAACACTTCGTCCACCCCAAGGGATTTGTTCGGCTTGAGTTTCACTATTTGCTTTATAACATCCCTGGTAACTACTAGTCAACCTGTCTTCCCCACCAATATGAACTTGTTCGGCTGTAGGCATAGTGTTAAGTTCTTTAGTAAATACAAAGATAAAATGTTTATTTAAAATACTTAAGTCATCTCCGTCATTATCAGTTATCTGACCTTTCTCAGTTTTTAGTGGACCTATCATTTCCCTAATCTTTGTTCGGTATAACAAAAAAAACTTTTGTATTTGTCTTTGCTTGCCCTGCTATGACCAACCACTTGGGTTGAACTGTAGAACAACGGTCTCGCTTCATGCAGGTCTGCGCTCAATCCCCCAACCATTCAAGTGGCTGGACACCATTCCTTATGTCCGATCCCAAATCCATATCCTGACCCTTTCCAAGTAATTTATAGTCTTGATGGCTTGGCGCTTTCCCCTGGTAGTTTCCTTCCACTGCCCTCCTATGCATATTTCATAGCTTCTTTTTGCCCTCCCTATCTTTTTTTTTTACATTTCTAAGCAGTTGGACGAGTCAAGCTGACTCACTCAGTTCAAGGCTGACTTCCCCATGCTTAATCATTTTGTACCAAGCTCTCTACTTACAAGGATCTTCAGATACTTTGTTATCCATTTAGGGTCATTTTTTTTCAATCTGTATAGTATACTACGTTCCTGTGCTTTGCTTAGAATATTTTGAAATAAATTATATTTTGAATCTACATCGAAATCCCTTCATACGCTAATTTCACGTCTCGCTCCAAGACCAGCCCACCCCTATGCCCACGACTTTCCAATCAATTACACCCAACAAATTTCTTGGGCCATTAAAATCAGCTTTTCGGAAATCTGGCACTTTACCAGAATGCTCTTACAATTTTATTTCATTTTATGCTAAATCTGATTTCTTTGTGATCACTGTTCCGGAACTCACTCCCTATTTCGATATCATTAATTTGTCTCCCTGTTAGTTAACACCAAGTCTAAAATATTATTTTCCCGTGTTGGTTACTTAGTGTGTTGCTTAAGAAAGCAATCGTCAGTTATATCTAGAAAATCTTCATTATTCCCTGTTCTGTTAAGTCAGTTCATTCCCCCCAAAATTATAGTCACCCACGACACACTGTTTAATCTAGATATTTCATCCCATAGATGCTTTGCTTTCAGTCTACGTTTGGTAGCCTGAATATAACTCCTATTATAAGATATTTAGCTTTTTTGTTTAATTCTTACCAAATAAATCCACAAGGGCCGTGATGAGGATTCGAACCTGCGTCCGGGAGCCTCCCAGACACTGCCTTAATTGATTCCCCCTGAGACCATTTAAAATTTTCCCTGACATATATGGCTACTCACTCTCCTTGTCTAATATATCTATGAAATAGTTTAAATCCGTTTATTTGATATTCCGCTCATTAAGATTTGTCTATCTCTTCATATGGAAACATTCTAATATGCGGGATTAACTTTACCATCCTACGCTGGACGTGTTCTAGTGAATTTATGCATTAAATAGCATGACAACCAAGGCAAGTGCATAATCTAAATGGGGCCTAAAGATATCAAGATATTGCTAATAAGTAACAAAAGCTGATTAACCAGCAGCAGTAACACCAGCTAACTCTTCCATAAAAAAAATCTTTGGTAAGGAAAAGCTCTCAGCCTGCCGACAAGAGTTAAGTTGTCTACGCATGTCTAGTTCCACCCGCTCCTGCTCAAAATTAGTTAAATAAGCACTTTACCTTGACTCCTCTGATCCAACAGATGACAATTCGCGCACCTGAAAAAATGAAACGTGTTTACATATATAAAAGGGCAATTATAAAAAGTTTATTTCAAATACAATCGAGTAACAATACAATTAAGACTCAAGAACAATGTTAACAAGCATGGAAAAGGTGAAATTGCAATGGAGATTAATTACAGATTGTATCAACAGCAGGGAGTAGGCAAGAGACATGATTGCAATGGCTGAACGGAAGGCCATTTAGTCCTGTAGTCCTAAGAACGATGGTAACTGCAGAAGGCCTTTTGGCCCATACGAGGCAGCTATTTATAACCACCCAAACTCAAATATATGTAACCTACGCTTAAACAATCAAGGGATCCTACTGCTATTATGTTACGCGGTAATTGGTTCTACAAATCAAGAACCTAATAATACTGGACTGGTGAGGCTATGGTTAAGCATCAATGTTATTTTAATGTTAGTGAAAAATTTCTTTATTAGCGCATTCCACTAAAACCTTAAGCTAACTTAAGTTAAAAGTACTGTGTATTAATCTATTTAGCCATCTGTTGATCTAAATTATTTAAACATTCTTAAAATACTTACAGTAATATGATCTATAAGCCATAACCAACGGTAGAAGCCTACTAGTTACATTGTCAAGAATGAGGATTTTCACACGTGAATCAATTTTGTATCGCAGATTAAACAAGATGAATACAATTAATATCTTCCACATTTATCTGCATAATTACCATCCTGATATGACCGCTCCATCGCCCTACTCGTTAACACTAAACCTAATGTGACTTATTGGGAAACATTATATGCCACCTTAAGCTTAGCCAATAGATACGTTGTGCATATTATCTATCAAACTACCTTTACTTCCATAATGCTGCAATGTGCTTAAAATACTGACAAAAGTCTTCAGACACCATCGAGGGTTCCTTTTACAAGTCGCTGGCTTCCTGTCGCCGTAGTGGGCACTATGGAGAAATGGTGGCCCCTCTGGTAAATTTAAGTAAACATTACCTAGGAGTTAGGATCCACTAGCCATTGGAAATGGCACAACATCTGGGGCCCACAGCATGATGTTTAAAGTTTACCAGTTGAGAGGCGTGATCAAATAGCCAAAGCTCAAGCCCCGCAAACTAGGTGAATACAACTAGGCGAGTACAGTAAATATGAAAACAATGAAGCCTTAAGAATAGTCAAACGAATCTAACAAAAATATTGATTATTCGACTCTACGAGTCGCTGGTGCGCTCCTATCTAGACTACTGCGTCCTAATATGGAGACCTCACCTTCAAAAGGACACGAATGATTTTCTGCTTTGGAGAAAGTTCAACAGTGACAATCATCTCAGAACTTGGTCAACTGTCATACCACTTTACCTTGCGGTTACTTTGCGATGATTTCAGGGCTCAACGCCCCCGCGGCTCGGTCCTCGACCAGGCCTCCTCGTTGCTGGACTGGTCAAACAGGCTGTTGGACCACGACTCAAGAAAGCCACAAGACTAACAACTGTAAACCAGACCTGACAGCTGAGAACTTTATAATACTGAACAAGTTGGGAGGTTATTAATACAGATCACTTTTAAATGTCAAATATAACCCATTCAAGATGGACAACAGCTTTAAGCTCAACAAACCACAATGTACCACAAAATAGTTGTTTTTTTCACCCATAGGGTTATAAACCCATGAACCCGCTTAACCACTGTAAATGTAAATGCCTTAAGTTCAAAATCCAAATGGGAAAAAAATCCTTAATTAAATCTGGAAGGAGGAGGAGAGGGGGGGGGGACACAGAGATCTGAAAAACCGCCGGCTTCCTGTCCCCGTCTAGGCCACTATAGATGGTGGCCCTAAATTCATTATACGGGCCCCTCCTCCTTCCGTCGTTCTGAATCATGCTCATCATGCTAACCTGCATCCTCCCCCCCCCCCAGGTCTTGGGCACTACACACTGTGGCCCAACTGTCTCCGTTTCATTCATATTTACATCAAAATGTCACTTTTTTGTGTGTTGGGCTTAAGGCCAACCACGGGGAAGGTTATTAGGGCCATCACCAGAGCCCTAATAACCAATTAGCCAGTACACCTGTCACTCACGGCTGTGTTTTGCCTAAATACCCAAAATATAAAGAATAATAACGAATAACGTAAGCCTAAGTGTACACAGACACGGAAACACTACTTTCTATATATTGATCGATTAAAAAATTGATTGCTTTAACACAGACCTATTGAACTCACAGCTGTGAACCACGTCGATCGCCTGCTCGTAGTCAAATGACCACACATCATGAGGTTGGACCCTAGGACACGACTCACCCTTGGTTGACCATAATATCAAAACTGGCAACCTGTAATACAGTTAAGCTTCTGACCACTAGAGGCGCTGATGCTCCCTCGTTACTACGCAAATGCATATAATGATTGCTGCCATTGTCATTGCAACATTTAAATCCAATAAATATTCTGTAGTGTATATATACAAGAATTTCATGAATTTTATGAGTAGCAGATTTAGTGTAAACAATAATATACGTGTTTTGGATTTAAGTATCAAATTATTTGGTAGATAGATTCATATAGTAATGCAGACAGCAAGTCACAACAACGTGGAGGAACATTTCACACCCAACCCTTACATTTAGAGATAAAAGAAGGGTTTTAATCTGATTGAATAGAGCGGTCCCAGAGAGACCGCATACAGCCCAGCGCCTGTGCCAGGTAAGTCTACTACGGGGCTCACCATAGCCCGTGCTATTTGCAACTTTTTATTCCGAGTAGCTGAATCTAAAACAACAACAACAACATCTGATTTAAGATTAAGCCACCCAAGAGGTGACACGGGCGTGAATAACCCGTAAGGTTTTAATTTTTTTATTATTATTTTCTACCACAGACGTGGTAGAGTAGCTTCTACCACTGTTAAGAAACAGTGACACTGTACCCTCTCATCCTCACATTCTTACCTAACAAATTGACCTTCTCCGCCACTCTTGATTACGGGCTATTCATGCCCTCCACACACGAAAAACAGAGCACAATATTCTCTCCTTCTTGACCAAGGTCGATGGGTGTAATGCCGGCGCCATCTTTAAGGATCTTCAAGACGTCGCTTTTGGTATAAGTATGGCCGTCCATACGTGGCAGTCCTCGACCCCGTCATATAAACTGTCATCCACTATTGTCATTGTCATCTTCTGCAGGTTCCTTTATTCGTGTGTTCGTATAGTCTTTGAGGCATCACCTTAAGCTATGACAGCATACCTAGAGCCACACAAGTGATGAGGATGATGGTACAGTCTCTCGCTGACCTGATGCTCAGCAGTTAAGATGAATGCAGCATCCTATTCATCGAATTTTAACTACATTTAACCCTGAACAAATGTGAAGCCCCCCCCTCTCCTTGCTAGGATGGTATCAACTATACTATATTACGTTGGTCTTAACTGTATAAATGAATAACATCACGTATGAAACTGAAGTGCAAAATGGGGGAATCATTGCAGAACTCAGCTTATTATATTTTGTTTTTCGGAGCTCCAACAATCAGGAGGAAACTGTTGAGAAGTTAAATGAAAGTGGGGAGAAGATGTTGTGGCATTTCGTGAGCTTTGTAGCATACACACAGAGCAGCTGCAACTGCTCTGTGTTAGGGAGTTAAGACCCTCGGTCAAATACATGAAGTTTGTTGCATAATAGATGCCCGGCTCTTGAATTTGTTTGACATCCTAAGTGTTGTACATGCTGCTATGGCGGTGTGTCCACTCACAAGATGAGTGGCGCTGCCCAATAAACTTGCCTCTCGGGGCAAAATTTAAAAATTTAAATTTATAATTTAATCCTAAGACGAAATTATGGACAAGAAATTCCAGTTTAGTTGTGAGTACTTACTCGATTATAGATCTGATTTGCGAGTTATACATTATTATAGATCACCTAGCATCAAGGTGGCGATGGGCTGCCTTTCCTATCCAAGACGTCAAAGTGTCCTAGCGCATTTCACCAGCTTTTTTCTTCCACGTGCTTTGTGAAGGACAGATTTTCCTAATTTTCTATTCCAAATATGACACTTGATGGGTCGTATGTTCATGTGTACTTGTCAAGTCCTATGGAAGGACCATGTTCTTGGTGTCTCTGTGAGATGGTAATTTGTTTTAGGTTATTTTTATTATTATATATATTATTATTAATTATTATTATTGCGTCAGTTGTTAACTACTTTCGTTAATATTTTTATATTATATTATTATATTAATGTTTATACAATATTACTTTATATTATATTACTTATAGAGTAATATAACAAAGTATTATAATAATATTATATTATATTATATTAATGTTATTAAAATTAGCATTAATATTATTATAATTAATCTTAATGCGCCCGCATTAGTAACGCATTAATATTAGTAATATAGAAATATAATCATTTTAATAATATTATATTTCTAATATTATTGAGTGAATAATAGTCACAATTAAACCATTTCCATGCAATTAAGAGAGTACTTGATTACCGACGAACGATACTCTGAGTCCAAGAGCTGAAGCTCCACCACGTGTGCGAGAGCCTCACAGGGTAGTGAAGGAGGGAGAGTCCGGTCTAGTGTTTATATTGACGGCTGCAGCAGCCCCTCTGTGTGAAGACAGGGGCTCCCTTTGTTGGGGGTCCGCTTGAGTGTATTAACCAGGGGAGTTGAAGTGGACGTTTTGAGAGACCTGCGAACCCGTACCATGAAGGGGGACAGTCAGAGGGCTAGGAGAGTCACTAAATATACACACACACACACACACACACACACACACACACACACACACACACACACACACACACACACACACACACACATTTTAGGCTTATATCGAGATCCAGCCGAAGGTCGACTTACTCACCCTCCCAAAGAATGTAATCCGACAACGTGCTGACTACCTGTTCTTGTTGTTTTAGATTTAGCTGCTCGGAACGAAATGTCCATGTAGCACGGGCTATGGTGAGCCCGTGGTGGACTCAATTGGCACAGGAGCGGGGCTGTAACTGAGGCCGCTGACTACCTCCTGGGTACCTCTTAAATATAAGTGAAGAGTAAATTAGGTGAATGGAAACACGCCCAACCATTTCTGTCCGTGTCAGGTGATTCAGTGGTTAGGAGTTACGGGGGCTAGGAGCGTCAAGTGTAGAAGAGTCCTTGGGGCTAGGAGAGTCATTGCCAGGTGTCCCAGAGGCTAGAGAAGTCAGGGACTCTGAAATTCAGGGGCTTTGAGAGTCAGATAGTGGGTAAGAGGCTACGACAGTCTTAAGGTTATTTTCAACTCCATAGGGCCTACGGTCCTGTAGTTCCTAGGGCAGGACTCTGACTTACATTTCAGTGCTACTCCTATTGAGTTAAGCGAGTCCCGGCTATGCCTGACAGTCTGAATATCCGTGCTGGTTCTCTTCCCAATTCGGGGGGTGTTGCACACGCTGCAATGGCGGTCTGACCACTCGTGCAATGAGTGTCGCTGCACTATAAACTCTCCCTCCGTGGCAAAATTGAAATTCCGGTGTTAATGGATTCTTTCCTCATCTCTATGACTCATTAGCGTCTCTAGCTTTCATTTAGGTCCTGCTTGTTTTGGCCAATGTGATCACCTGTGTGTGTATTTCACCTTGTGCTTGCGAGGGTTGAGCTTTGGCTCTTTGGTCCCGCCTCTCAACCGTCAATCTAATGGTGTACAGGTTCCTGAGTTTACTGGATTCTATCATATCTACATTTGAAGCTGTGTATGGAGTCAGCCTCCACCACATCACTTCCCAATGCCTTCTGTTTATTAACTAGTCTGACACCGGAAAGTTCTTGCTAATGTCTCTGTGGCTGATTTGTGTACTCAGTTTCCACCTGTGTGTGTGTGTGCGTGTGAACTGTCTCTAGAGTTCTATATATATATATATATATATATATATATATATATATATATATATATATATATATATATATATATATATATATATATATATTTCAAGAATTTGTCTAATGTATTCTCTTATTTGATTTTGTGTATTAAACATAAATGCTCCTTGTTTAGGAAGTGTTTCTATCAGTCACAAGTTGAAAAAAGTTTGAAATTTTTTAAGGTGCGTGCAAGTTATTTTTTCATTGATAACTCTGGTGCTTATTGCAGGAAAAGAATGCATTAATTTGGCATTAACATTTACTTGTTTTTTGTTTTCAAAGACCAAAGCAAATGTTTGGTAGTGAGTTTGGTACAAAAAGTCAGGCAGGAAATTTGGTACAAAAGGTCACGTAGTCAGTTTGATATATAAGGTCAAGCAGGGAGTTTAGTACGAAAGGTCACGCATTGAGAGTGGTATAGAAGGTCAGGCAGTGAGATTTGCACAGTAGGTCATGCACTGAATTAAGTGCAGGTCATGCACTAAGTACACAAAACCAAACCGTAATAACAAATTGCATTAAATTCATGCTAGTTAATCAATCATATTTCGCATAATTAAACAATCAATCACTGATTGTCTCTGAATACTCCCCCTCCCCCCTATTTAGTTATTTATTTATAGTAAATGTTTATTCCCATAAGGAACACAGGGCGACCAGCGGGAGGGAGGGGGGAGGGAGACGGGGTGTTGGCTGGAGCGAGGGATTTTAAGCCCCATTGATCGACAAACTTTTGCTCGACTGCTTGTGGACTTTAGGGGAACTACTACCACGTAGACCTGAAATTGACGTTCTGTTAACCACCAGGATCCTGGCGAGGAATTGCTGGGTTGATTTTTGCGTGTGTGTGTGTGTATTCACCTAGTTGTGTGTGTGTGTGTGTGTGCATTCACCTTGTTGTGTGTGTGTGTGTGTGTGTGTGTGTGTGTGTGTGTGTGTGTGTGTGTGTGTGTGTGTGTGTGTGTGTGTGTGTGTGTGTGTGTATTCACCTTGTTGTGTGTGTGTGTGTGTGTGTGTGTGTGTGTGTGTGTGTGTGTATTCACCTAATTGTACTCACCTAATTGTGCTTACGGGGGTTGAGCTCTGGCTCTTTTGCCCCGCCTCTCAACCGTTAATCAATAGGTGTACAGGTTCCTGAGCCTATTGGGCTCTATCATATCAACACTTGAAACTGTGTATTGAGTCAGCCTCCACCATATCACTGCCTAATGCATTCCATTTGCCAACCACTCCGACTCTAAAAAAGTTCTAATATCTCTGTGGATCATTTGGGCACTCAGTTTCCACCTGTGTCCCCTAGTGCGTGTACTCCTTGTGTTAAAGAACCTGTCTTTATCAACCCTGTCGATTCCCTTGAGAATCTTGAATGTGGTGATCACGTCCCCCTAACTCTTCGGTCTTCCAACGAAGTGACGTTTAATTC